AACATGAGTCGCGAAACACTTCCGGAATTACTAATTACAGTGACTCGTTTCCATGACATTTCCATGACAAAGAAAAGATCGATTCGTTACCTTGCTGAAAAGTGTTTTGACCGAGAAAAAAATGCAAATGAAGTGACATTAGTCAAGGGTAAGGCCGGACTCTTTGTGGTAACGCGTAAAAATTGCAAGTGATACGAGTCAAGGATAAGGTCGACTTCTTTGTGGAAATATGTAAAAATTGCAAATAATGTGATGCGAGTAAAGGATAAGGTTGACTTCTTTGAAAAGACGTATGTATGCATTTATTCAAAGACATTGAATAATAAACTCGATTTTTCTTTTCAATCATTATTTCTCATATTTTTCATGACAAATATTTCCTTTTAAATTTTTCAACAGGTTTCAAAATTCGATCCAACAACTAAATATTATTCTCACTATCTTTCACCGAAAACAAGAAAGAAACACGTGAAATCAGAGCGTGAAAGACGAAAGCAGGAAAGTTCTTGCATCGAGAGTTCTGTCTAGAGTCGCGTGTTCTCGTGGATCACGTGAATCGTGGTTCCAGAGGTGAAAGAGTATGAGGAGGAGAAGAAAGAAGAGAAAGGAGAGAGGAGGGAGGCACGGGCCCGTCGATATATTAGTTATGCCCGAGGCGAGGTGAGGCGAGGAAGCGGAGGCGAACTCTCCACTGCCAAGGCGGCGCAAGGCGTGGTCTGTCCCTTTACTTTGCCTTCGCCTTCTGCTTTCTTCTGCCGTTTCTCTGGCCGTGCTAAACAGGGTGTTTCGCCAGAAATCGTGGATTTCTGTTTTTTTTTTTTTTGAAGATTTCTTCTTCATTCGTTATTTATAACCAATCGTCTGTAAAAGTTCGTAATGAAAATGCTCCGTAAATATTGATACTTTATGAACACTTTTAGAAATTGAATAAAATGAATATGCGCAGATATTTCTGTTGTTCCCCAAAAAATTAAAATCACGATTCGAACGATCGAAATTTCTCGATAAAGTATCACGGAATAAAAATCTTCGAAATAATTTGTAAATATCAATTTTATGAATAAGATGCGAATTGAAGAAGATAAGAATATTGGTAGAATTTCACGAAAAATCGTAAGTTTTTTTAGTAAGCTTGAAAAATCGGTTTGAAGCGAAACACCCAGTATAGGAGTAGGTTCGACTGGTTCACCTCCGCGGCTGGCAACAACTAACGAGCAGCTGTCGGTAAGGATCCCGGCGACAATAACCCGTGCATTTTATATGTTCCTTGATCGTGGCTGCATGCATCGATCTCGAGCGTGGTTTTCCTCGCAGATAACCGGCCACTAACTGCTTGTCATTAACGTTATCGATACTCGCCATAACGCGTCTTCACTTTATTCCGAAATAGAAATGGAAAGTTTATCGTTATAGAAGTTCGATATTCCCCCTCGTTTCAAAATTTTAATCGTTATTCTTTATCCAACAAATTTTTATTTTAACAATTTCGATCCTTGAAAAATTTAAACAATTGTAAATCCGCAAAATTGCAGAATAGAACTTTTAATATTCCATTCTCCTTTTTTTAACTTTCGCATCATCTCGCATGTATATCGCTTTAAAATAATCTCGTTTTTTACGCATCTAAGAGTCGAAACGACAACTTCGACTCTCAAAGAGTTAAACGAGAAAAATTCCAAAGAAGAGAGAACGCTAAACATCGCGTAGACTCTGTAAAAAATTGCATGGTATATATAAGAAGGATGCCTGTTACTTATAAAAAAGCGTGGCTGTCACAACAATTGGAAGCATCAGCAAGCAGGAATAATTGCCGCCGACAGCGGAGGCAGCCGTCACGGTCAAAGTCGGCGCCGAAACCTTGAGGCCTCGACATCCGGTCGAAGCCGAGGAGATCCCCGATCCGAGATAACGCGTTCTTTCCTCGCCGGCTGCCGCCGCGAGTGAATTTCGCCTCGATTGTTCTCGAGGCTCGAGCTGCTCCCGAAGGG